CAGAAAAGCGCTAGTTATTCATTAAGAAACAGTGATTTTGATATTCCTACTTTTAACACTATTAACTACGGAAAACATTCTATTAGATATCAAGGACCTCATATTTGGTCGAAACTAGATAATAAATTGAAAGGCTCCTCGAATATTGAATCTTTTAAAAAGAACATAGGAAAAAAGACCTAACGTCACTCTTAAACAACAACAATAGCTGCTGTAACCTTTGCAATTCTTAGAGACTACCTCTTATATACCTATTGATTTATTGTACAATTTATACATTCTACATATTTTAATTGTATATACATTTTTATTATTATTCCTCATTTGTAAATAATTTTAATTTTTTTTGTTGTGTTCCCAATTAGTTGTGAAAACTAAATACATTGACACATTAATTAATTACTTACTTCCTGGCGTAATGAGCAAAAAGTAACCAGCATATAAGCATTTCTAAGACAATTTTCTGGTTGCAGGCATGGAGGATTTGGGTCTCACAGCCAATACTAAGGTATCAATGTTCAATTGAGGAAAGAAATCGAACACGTTTCACCCTGGCAGCAACTAATTCCTGCAAAAAACACCTTTTTCGAGTTAGCCAAACCCTGCTTTGAACAACGCTGTTTCACCATCGGTCGTTAAAGGAGCTCAGTCAAGGTGTTTTGAGTTATTTACACCAAAGAGATAATGATGGGAACCTAAAGGAACAAAGATGGCTAAGGATGGAGAAGATTAACACGGATTACAAACGACGAATGTGAAAAATTGAGGCAAAACCTTTGAATATGGGCAAACCGTGACCTAGCTCATTTAAGAAACCTACGGATTATTTCTATCTAACCCAATGTTAATTGAACCCTCTTTTGAACTGGGCTCTGAAAGTTGTACTGTTGAGTTTGGGATTCACGCGAAAATTATTATTTGAGGACTTTGTCTGCAGCAGGGTAAATTTTCTTGAAGCGCAACCCGAGATCTCGACACGCGGCAGATTGATGGGTCGCTATATACTGGCGCATTGCAGAAGTCATTATATATCTCTCTCGCGCTGTGATTGGTTAATTTAGCGGGCCGTATTCTACTGTACTGCCCGCTAAAATTTAAAGTTGTTTCTGTTGCCAAAATGTTTCGTGATTTATCGCCATGTGTTCTTAACTTTTATAGCAAGTAAAAGTTTAAAACTTTCTTTTACTTCTGAAATTGTGTATTAAAACTGGCTGCTAACGACTTAAGAGTCACTTGACAACGATTTCGATTTGACTCGTTTTGCTTTCGGGGTACATCAGAAATTTGGAGCCGTTCCGCGCGCGTGAATAGAAATCGCTCCCGAACGCGTCAGACACACAGTAGGGATAAATAAATATCTTACCAACCTCGTCTTCTCGGTCCGTACTGTAAGTTACGGATCCTCGTTTTCCCCTCCTTCGATTTATGGCCCGCGCGCTTCGTGCCTGGGCCATAAATCGATGGGGAAAACTCAGTCCGTAACTTACAGTACGGCCCTCGAACTCGGTTAGTAAGAGGTATTTATTGGCCTTAAAATTACCTGAATATTTTTTTAAACATGAACTAAACTAATTTTAATTTTTCTAATTTTGTAAATATATCCATAGGCAAGGTAAGCCTAAACACTAAAGTAGCAGCGATTCAGACTAAAGGGGTCCACAGTGCCAGTGCTATACCCTATTTCGAAGCATTGAGAGACTACAAGACAAGCATTGTTTTAAAAGTGCAAGTTCGCACATTTAAGTATAAAATTAAAAAGACGGGCTTCTAAATCCACTTACAAAAAAAGTCAATCAAACTCAACATGAGTCACTTGAAATTTTGCAAATACTGGCGAAGTGTCAATGTTATAATATCAGTAATGGCAAGCATTCCTGAACAGGCGCATTCTACAGTGTTAGTTGATTATGAGCAGTTTACCATTCTTTTTCAAGTTTATTGTAACTAAACTTGATCAGAGTATTAAACTAGATGTGATAACCCCAGAGAATTCGATAACTTACATTTATTATATGGCTGTGTCTCACAAGGACTGGGAACTACCGAATTCACGAATTTGATTGGCTGAAATTGATATTGACCGCGGTCTAGATTTTCCCATCTAGACCGGCATCTAGACCGGTTTCATTTTGCGTCGAAAAAGTAGCAAACTCAAATACAAAAACGTTCGCCGTTTTCTTTTATTTTCTTCTCAATCATTTATGGAAGTGCCAAAAAACCTGATGACAAAAAACAAAAAGTAAAGAGGACGAGCAAATTTCGACAGGTTTAAGTTAAGCTCATCTCCATTTGCAAGCAAAATGTCAGCAAACCAGTTACATTAAACGAATTAAAGTTTTCTTCTTTGCCATATAATAAACATCTTATTAACCGAGCTAAGTCGGTCTGTATGGGAGAATCTTGACCTCGGTCGTGTGTACAGACCTCACTGCGTTCGGTCTGTACTCACGACCTCGGTCAAGATTCTCCCATACAGACCTCCTGCTCGGTTAATAAGAGCAAAATACAGCAAGATGACAAAGAACGCAAACATCGAAAGCAGACTGTAAACACCAGATAATGACTGATCAGTTGATTAACTCCACATATCTAATAAGCATGCTATAAACGTTCAGAAACCCAGAAAAAAAGGACAATTGTCTGTTAAAAGTTTACCTCGTGAGTAGATCAAATGACTAACATGCAGTACCTTAGGGACGGTGCCTACTTTTGTTAGTGCGCACCGGGTTGACATTGACGCAATCAACTACGCCACCAAGTACACGACTACAATGAAAGCAAAATTTTCCTACTCTGACCAAATCAAGTTTAATGAACCTGTACGTAAACCAGGAACACCAGAATAGCAGCATATCGCTAACCACTAACTGTTAACGTCATCCAGCTGAAAAACTGAAAAACTAGCTGTTATCTGTCGAAAATTATGCTGAAATCCAACTGTAAACATATACCTGCAGATGGCGCAGTGCGCGCGCAAAACAAGTGCGAGATACGTAAAAGTTTTATTTACTGGGGAGGTGACAGGAAAAAATGTAACGGGCACCGTAAAAGTTTTCAAAAAGATGAATAACATTAAAAGACGCGTGGTTACCCCCACACTTTATGTTATGAAATGGAAGTGGTAAGCCTATTCAACACGTGATCACTTTCTGGTTGTGAGGGAAAACTAATTAGACTGTATTTTAGCTGAACCAGAGGAAGGCTGTCAGAGACGCTAAAAACGCTGTTGCAATGATTTTGTTATTAGAAACATACCAAAAATGGTTTTTATGTTACCATTTACCATGTAGTTTTAAGATCTTTATTAATGCGTTTGCTTTTCTGTAGATAGAGGTGAATTCTAAGAAGAAATATCCTTCCTTCTTTTTTCAGAAAAATGCTGATGTCAGCATTTTTGCTGAGATTCATGGTTAATTATCTCGAAAAAATGCGTGGCTACCCCCATTTTTCTTTGTATATTCCAATAGCCCTTGCAAAGATCTACTTTTTCCGCGTGGTCCTAACCTGGTGCAAAAACCTTTGTATTTAGTAGGCACCGTCCATAATCTGCTCCAAGTGTAAATTGTTCACTCGATGGACGATAAAACTGGATGACTTAATGCCGGGGAATCTATGGGAAGCAGATTATGCGTCGACGTGCATTCTAAGAAACGGTTCACAGAGAATTCAAGAGAATAGAACAAACTGATCACGTGCAACGCCTTCGGGCATCATGCATAAAACCTAAAACCGGAACAAACAGGTCCACATTGCAAGTAGGTCTCAGTACTATTCGAAGTTTACGTAGCATTCAACGACTGCAAACATTGCTACTCCCTCTGGAAGAAGATGTTTGCTCATTCTGTGATAACCTCCAGCAGTTATGTCCAGGCAGCGAAACAACGTGTCTCCCACAAACATGGCTAGATAATTACAATGGTCTCTAGACAACTCAGCATTGCTCAAGTCATACGATTCGAAATTGAAGTTGCCGATATTCAATTGCTACTTCAAAAATTAAAAAAAAAAGCAATAACTCGAAATTAGCTTAAAATGTTCGTGTTGGCATATTTCGGTCTGAAACAGACAGCCTTCTTAATACACCGACAGAAAGAAGTCAATAAAAATCAAGTGAGTCATTTGAAATTTTCGAGTGATTTTCTAAAGTTTTGTTATTGTTACTTTAATTTTAGTTTACTCTCTTGGCTCCTCCGTAGCTTGCAACAAAGTGCATATCGACATCTCTCCACGCCGGGCTATTTGTCTCGAGAAATGAGCATTTCTGAGCTGGCGAAAACAAGTTGTATCATGCTTTCGTGCCAAATGGTCCGGCGTGCTCCTGAAGGATGCGAAAGATCGTCACAATAAATGGCTAACGCTCACTGAATAATTCCATCCTTGTTCGCGGTCTACAATTAGCCCATTTCCACTGTTTCACACTGAATTTATACACATTTTCCAATTGACTATGCCAGCATTCAAACGTCCAAAGGATAGGAGAAAAAATTATACTGTGCGCTTAGATTATTCGCTTTTGTAACAATGTATTTTTGATAATTACGTAAAATCAAAGGTGAATGTGCTTTGGTTAAAGAAAAGAATGCGAACTTTCAGGTTCCCTGTAAGACGTCGTCTCCAAATTCTTCAACAAGTGAAGAACTCGCCCACCCGAGTTGTCTCGCCCCCCGAGACGGGTTCGCAATCCTAATGTAAACGGTTGGTTGATTTTGCAAAGAAATAAGCTAAAAGTTAGCTCGGCCGGGGTAAGGCGGGGGGAGGGTTGTCTCGGGTACCCAGGGAGTTTGACCTGTCACGGCCGAGTGATTTTTCGGTGTAGGATTTCTCATCTTGACGTCCTCCTCTTGTTATCGCCTGTTGTCATTAAACCCGGAGAGATATCCTGAATAAAATTGCTCTACTCTGATCTTCAAGTCGCGAGGCAAAAACATGCCGTGAGAAGTATAACTTCGTTCAGCGGAACTGTCAAAGAAGTCTTAAAAAGAAGACGGCGAAGCTAAGGCATCTTATAACGATTTTTGCTGCGTCTCTCGGTGTAAATCTAAAAGTTATTGCGAAAGTTTCAAATGCAGAGTTTCAACCGAGAATTTACATTATATGTATTGTAGTATTTGACATAGGAGATCATTTAACTGCGGTGAAATGTTTGCCGATAGCAGCGGAAAGTTTCTAGAGAATATGTCCGGTTTCAAGTGAAAGTCCGCTTCAATCTTTCAAATGGACGGCAGAAAGGCCAAGTTTAGTGAATTCATATTCACTGAATTGTTCTTGGACAATGCTGTTGAGCGGCGAAATCACTAACACTCTCGCAATCGGGTTGGAGGTGGAAAGCTTTGCCAAACAAAACACTCGATAAATTGAAATCCTTCCAAAGCCTGTTAGCAGAATCGCAAGAACATCACAGCTTGCCAAGCGTGACGCATATGGAAAGCCAAATGGTGCAAAATTCAAGGAACAAAATTGGCCTTACGTTCAACAAATTTGCTATCAAGGTCAAGAGAGACTTCAATCAAGTTCAACAAAATCAGTTCACGTTCAACCGATTTTCTCTCAAGGTCAAGACATTTAGAATCAAGCTCAACAAAATAACGTCTTCACTTTCAACAGATGTCCTTTCAAGGGCAAGAGGTATTTGAGTCAAGCTCAAGAGATCACTTAAGCTACTTTCAACGTAAAATTTCTCTCAGTTTCAAACTTCGTTCCATATCATCCCCAAATTCCCCGTCACGTTTCAGCAACTCGACCTTTCAAGAAGCCGCGAATGACATGACGCTCAACGTAGCCAAATTGCAGCATCAACAACCCAAATACGTTGTCAACAACCTCGCCAACCAGTCAACAAAGTAGTTAACCCACAATGCAACGTGTGGAACAGACTTCGTATACTGTTCATGAAGTATTTACCCATAATGCATCTCGCAAATTTTCCCGCCAAAAATCAAAGATGGCTACAAACATGGCAGAAACTTCAACTACCGAAGAATGGGACAATTTCTTTGAAGAATTGGTCCGTTTATTGACTGATTATGAAGCATTGTACGACTCACCAGATTGTATATTGCAAGAAAATGTATTTATTCGAATGGAGTCCGCTCTTCTTGCTCTTCAACAAGTCATACCTTCAGCGATCGAGAGAGGACTAAACTGCGCATCAGTTCTGCAAGAAATTTTCACAAACTTTCGAATTTTGTTTTTAGAGTGGACAAGACGTAGGGAAACTCAAACAAGCTCTCCTTGCAACAACCTGGCAGTTTATTCGCTAGAAATCCCCAAAGTTGAGCGAAGTGGTCGGCCGGGCAGGCCGAGGTTTGAAATCAGCGAGGATGTTCTTTTGGAATTGCGCTCTTATGGTTTTACTTGGAAACAAATTGCAGACATGCTCCTTGTTTCAAGGTGGACTATAAGGAGACGTGTTGTTGAATTTGGCTTACAGGAAACAACAGGATTTTCTGCATTATCTGATGAACAAATTGACTTTTATGTCAAACAGTTTATTGAAGAGCATGGCAATCTTGTGGGATGTTCCATAGTTCAAGGTTTTCTTAAGTCACTTGGCTTCAGACTACAGCGCCGCAAGGTAAGAGCAAGTATTTCTCGAGTAGATCCGCATAACTCTCGCATCAGATGGGCAATTGTTGTTTCAAGAAGAGCTTATTCAGTGCAAGGGCCAAACAGTTTGTGGCACATTGATGGCCACCACAGCCTCGTGAACTGGGGATTTGTTATACATGGAGCAATAGACGGTTTTTCAAGATTGATAGTGTATCTTCACTGCTCCACGAATAACAGAAAGGAAACTGTAAGTCAACTTTTTCTCTCTGCTACTGAGCGCTATCACTGGCCTTCAAGGTTACGGAGTGATCATGGTGGAGAAAATGTGGGCGTGTGGCAGTTAATGGAAGAGGTGCGTGGTCCAAATAGAGGAAGTTTCCTGGCTGGAACATCGGTGCACAATCAACGCATCGAGCGTCTCTGGCGGGATGTGTTTTGCACTGTGTGTCATATTTTTTATTACACATTTCAGGCCATGGAAGAATCAGGACTCCTTCAGCGAAACAATAGTTTACACAAGTTTGTACTACACTACATTTTTACCCCCAGAATAAATAAGGCCCTCCAGTCCTTTTCTGCTGCATGGAATTATCATCCCATGAGAACGGAGCGCCAATGGTCACCATTTCAGATGTGGACAAATGGGGTGCTTGACATGAGAAATCATTCACTTATAGGCATTTCTGATATAGCAGAATCCGGGGGAGATGTTGATGACCTAGAATGGTATGGGTTTGACCCTTTTGCACCAACACCCAGTGATGATGGACTTTCCACGGTAGAGGTTGAAGATGTCGATATTGACTTACCCACTGACATCTTAACTTTGCTTAGGCAAAGTATTGATCCTTTGCAACATTCCAATAGTTTTGGTATTGATTTGTTTCAGAATGCTTTATTGGTTCTAACACAAGCTGGAGAGTATAATAACAGATCTCAAGAGTGATGAGAATGACATATCATGAATGCCAACTTAATGGTGTACCTTCTGGGAAAGGGGATTTGAATTATGCTAGTGGCAGTATGAAACCTTGTTCTCTGTTGTGGTACAAAGACATCACAGAACATGTGTCACACATACACTGTTTGAACAAGATAAACAAATTTGTCCTTTATAAACAATGAAACTATTTTTGAGGATCTCAAGAATACAGTGACCCCCAACTATGAATGGCCAATAGTTCACAGGCAAAGCTTGGATGAACTACTTTACCTATCAGCTACTTTATCAAAATAAATAGTGTACATTATTTTAAAACGATCTTCTGTTTTTGGTGGTGACTAGTGTAAATGCCTGGTTAATGCATGAAGTGGCTAGATTCTCCAAGCTTCTTTACCAATGAAGTATTAGCCATTCAAGGTTGGGTTGCTGCCATCTTGGAAAATTCCAGTTGAGTCAATTACATCTAATGACTGAAGCAATGCAAGTAGTTTGGTAAAGCAGTTTATTTCAATGAAGTTAACAACAGTAGTGATGGGGTTTCAGAAAATAATTATCCATAGACCACCCCATGGAGGATCGTTGGCAATTCTGAAATCTACATGTAGCCATTGTACTTGCAAGTACCATATGTGAAAAGTTCAATGTCATGTGTTCAAATCAGAAATGCATCTTGTTGTGAAAAGTGTTTAACTGTTTTTGTGTATTTTGGTCTTACACAGAAAGGGGCTGGGGGTGGGGGTGGGGGGTTAAAAGAAAAGTACGAAGCTAAACAAGATTTTCCAGAGGGGTGGGGATCAAACCACAACAAAACCCTCTGTGGGGGTTGAATGGAAATTTTCTGGAAACACAATACACCAATATGCTCTTGCCACAACAATATAATGTAAACCCAATGCAAAAGGGTCCAAAATGCTGGATGGCTATAAAATATTTCTTTCTTAACATTAAAACCAGTCTCACTAACACCAACTTTAAGTCAAAAAATCACTGAAATTTGCATAATGCAAAAAATAATTAATGAGGTAGAGCTGTAGCCCAGGTTCAAAACCCATTTTAAGAGAAAACAACATATTGAAACACAACCACTGTTAGCCAGACATGCATTCATTAAACAAGAGATAATTGAAATCAGTCTGGACTTTTTCAAACATCAAGGGGAGGAGATTTTGGCTCCTTTTTCCTTTGAAACATATGCTTTCAACAGAATTCAAAACTGTTGTAGAGTCAACATTGCAGCAGCCTAGACCCAGCTTCTACATAAATCACCTTGCTTTCAACCTTAGCAATATCAAGTCTTATTACCTAATAAAGCATTGGAGTGAAAAACAATAACAAACATGCAGACATTTCATTCAAATAGAGACTCGCTACTATAGTGTCAATAAAAGATGAATCAAGATAGTGACTGATGACTAAAAACTCTCACACAGTATTAAAAGAGGAGCTATCAAGAACTGCTTTCAGACATAAATCAAACTGTGCAGAGCTACTAAAATGCAAAGGTAACTTTAACTCCATGGTACAAGTTGAGGCAAAAATGTTTGGGGTGTCTTCAACAGTAACATTAACACAACCTGGGCGCAAAGCTGCAGTTGTGGATTTACATCCAGTGACAAAACCCAGTAATTTACACAAAACATCTTCGTTAGCACTGACAATAAAACTTAATAACATGTGTGTAACATTTATTACACTAGGGTCAGTGGATATTGGCAAGCGCAGCAAAGATTTGACAAAATCTGAGTTAATTTCACCTTTTTGATGAACAAAAAGATGTTCAAATTTGCTTGGTGCTTTTTCAATTTCTTCCAGTAGACCCAAAATAGCTAGACCCTTTCTGAACTGGTCAAGCACTCCTTTATGTTTAATAAGTGATTCATGTATCACAAGTGACTGCACCACTTCTAATTTGTTCTCTTCCTGTAAAGTGCAAAGTAAATAATTATTATTATGATATTGTAATGAGTTAGAATACATTCACACAAATTTATGCCATGATACATTTGAAGTCACAAGGGCAATTTAAGTAACTCTTGTGGATTCTTGCTGATAAGTCTTCCCTCTTCATTTCACATCTGATTGGATGTGAGCTGTGAAACAGAAAACAATCCAGAAACAATTCTAGTTGAGCATGGCTTTCTGGGTTTCACTGTAAAAAGCTCTAGTATTTATTAACTACAGGTAAACCTTTATAAAGGTGACTCTCACATGACCTTGTCTAGTGTTCACTTAATAGGTGTTTGAATACAGGCATGTTTTACATGAAATAGGGAAGTAAAGTTTGGGAGTCACTTAAGCTTGTGTCTGCCATATACAGGAGTCCATCTACCTGATGCATGTTTCAATGCATGAAACATTTACATTTGTGGGTTCAGTATGTCAAGATTCAAAATAAATTAAATATAAATAAGGACATGTACCTCAGAACAAAAAAATAGAGTACATGGACAAAAACTTAGGAGCATTTTGAATACCATGTTTGTTCCTTACCTTCAACAGTCTTCTTTCCCCACAGTTTTGCATCAGCTGTAAAAAGTCATCTTCCTGGTTGATGGTTTCAATGTCAACAGCTGTTGCATCTATAATCTGTAAAAAAAAATGCTATATCATTGATAAAAAACAAACTCTTTTTAAAAATGAAAATTATTTACTTTTTCCATCATGAAATAAAGAACCTAACAAAGGATTGTAGAATGCAGTATTAGCCCAAACCTTAAAGGATGAATTTTCAATGCAGAAAGGCATTTTATGAAACTTTTCAGCACCAGAACAGAGAATGACATTACACTTGACCAATGCAAATACCATAATACTAACATTGAAATATCATTAACCAAATCTTTAAGTTAAAACTGTCTGATTACAGTACTATAATTCAAAGTTGTTTTGGTTATTTCAGTCATCAGACTCTAGTCCATAATTTAATTGTTAATAATAATAAATATAAATAATAATAATAATAATAATACTAATAATAACAATAATAACAATGGGAAAAAGTAACAACACTTACAACACTTACCCTTGTGACATAGCTGTTCAAGATTCCATCACTGATGTCTATGACACTAGCCCTTGCAATGCCCTGCTGTAAATCTCCAGTGGCAATGTACCAATATATCACTGGTGACAAATAAGGGAACCCTGGGCCACCTTGGATCATACTGTGGGCGACCATTTTCCCGAGAACTTCAAACACTCCATTTAGCACATTGTCACTTCGGTATATGGGAACTAGATGCTCAAATGGACCTTGAAACATCTTTAACCCTGCATCCCCTTTTGCCAATGCAAGGAAAGCATCTTCATAAGCTTGACGAAGCACTCCCCCGGTATCAATTGCTGGCTCTCCTCTGAACTGAATTTTAATCTGCAACTCTGGATTAAAGTCAGAGTCCTTGTAATAATGAAATAAATCAAGTACCAGATCTTCTCTGTCAACTTTTATCTTCTCTGCCTGACCATACCCTTTCATTTTCAACTTGAGATTCTTTAGTACCTGTGAAGCACCCATACATGCACCAGACTGCTTGCATGTAGCTGGTTTGTCACTTAATTTCTCAGCTGCCAATTCAAGTGAACCACATTGAATGAGGGCATCTCTGATATCACTTAGTTTTGCATCAGGAAATAATACAGTCAAAGAGGAAATGTCTCCATCCATGTGTGAAACACCTGATGATGTTGTTGGTACTTCATCATCCGCAACAATGGGTGGTGATGTGCTTGCTGAACTAATGGGCCTGTCATTAGGGGTTGACATTATGGTTAGCAAGCTACTGTCACTATCATCAGAAGCACATCCAATCACATCCTTGCTGATATTCAATCTAACATAAAGCTTACCAGCACCACAAAGATGCTTCACGTGAGCATAGTCCCATGCATGGTTTTCTTTCACCACAGGTGTTACAATGGTGTTTCTCTCTCTTTTGACAAAGTCAAAGTCTTTCACTGAAATCAGTGGAAATTTGACTTTAAATACTTCTTTCAATTCTTGGCGAATAGATTGTTCATCAGCACCAGCTAACAAATCAAACTCCCCTTTCACTAAAATCATTTCCTCCTTAATTACATATTCATCATTCTGACCTTCATCGTCATCCTCGTCATCAATGTTGAGATTTCCTTGATCAAGAAGAAACACTGTCTTTGGCACAACGTGCGTCTTTTGCTTTGAAGCTGGAACTTTTCTTTTCCGTAAAGGATGCCCGGTTACAGACGTCGATCTATCGAAAACACGAGCAGACATGGCTGGTGCATTACGACGAAATTCGGACGCTGGCGCTGGCTGTTGACTTGTTTCGCCCAGCTGCCTTGCAGTAAATGAAGCAGATGAACGAATCAGGTTTCTCGTTCTATTGACCAATGTTTGACTACTGCAATTCCCTCTAGAATTACCCAGTTATTCGCGTACACATCTACGAACTATCTCTTCTATTCTCTCATCGGGGCTTTCCGCTCTTTCGGCCATTTTGCACGAGGAAGAGATTGCACAATTTTATGGTATGCCTTAAAAAAGCTAGTGCCCAAGACCTCTCCGAATTTAAAACTAATTTGAGCCTGGGGGCAAGGTGGGAAATGTCTCTTCTTGCATTGAATATTGCATTGTGGGTTAACTACTTTGTTGACTGGTTGGCGAGGTTGTTGACAACGTATTTGGGTTGTTGATGTTGCAATTTGGCTACGTTGAGCATCACGTCATTCGCGGCTTGACTTTAAAAGGTCGAGTTGTTGAAACGTGACGGGGAATTTGGGGATGATATGGAACGAAGCTTGAAATTGAGAGAAATTTTTNCTAGACCCTTTCTGAACTGGTCAAGCACTCCTTTATGTTTAATAAGTGATTCATGTATCACAAGTGACTGCACCACTTCTAATTTGTTCTCTTCCTGTAAAGTGCAAAGTAAATAATTATTATTATGATATTGTAATGAGTTAGAATACATTCACACAAATTTATGCCATGATACATTTGAAGTCACAAGGGCAATTTAAGTAACTCTTGTGGATTCTTGCTGATAAGTCTTCCCTCTTCATTTCACATCTGATTGGATGTGAGCTGTGAAACAGAAAACAATCCAGAAACAATTCTAGTTGAGCATGGCTTTCTGGGTTTCACTGTAAAAAGCTCTAGTATTTATTAACTACAGGTAAACCTTTATAAAGGTGACTCTCACATGACCTTGTCTAGTGTTCACTTAATAGGTGTTTGAATACAGGCATGTTTTACATGAAATAGGGAAGTAAAGTTTGGGAGTCACTTAAGCTTGTGTCTGCCATATACAGGAGTCCATCTACCTGATGCATGTTTCAATGCATGAAACATTTACATTTGTGGGTTCAGTATGTCAAGATTCAAAATAAATTAAATATAAATAAGGACATGTACCTCAGAACAAAAAAATAGAGTACATGGACAAAAACTTAGGAGCATTTTGAATACCATGTTTGTTCCTTACCTTCAACAGTCTTCTTTCCCCACAGTTTTGCATCAGCTGTAAAAAGTCATCTTCCTGGTTGATGGTTTCAATGTCAACAGCTGTTGCATCTATAATCTGTAAAAAAAAATGCTATATCATTGATAAAAAACAAACTCTTTTTAAAAATGAAAATTATTTACTTTTTCCATCATGAAATAAAGAACCTAACAAAGGATTGTAGAATGCAGTATTAGCCCAAACCTTAAAGGATGAATTTTCAATGCAGAAAGGCATTTTATGAAACTTTTCAGCACCAGAACAGAGAATGACATTACACTTGACCAATGCAAATACCATAATACTAACATTGAAATATCATTAACCAAATCTTTAAGTTAAAACTGTCTGATTACAGTACTATAATTCAAAGTTGTTTTGGTTATTTCAGTCATCAGACTCTAGTCCATAATTTAATTGTTAATAATAATAAATATAAATAATAATAATAATAATAATACTAATAATAACAATAATAACAATGGGAAAAAGTAACAACACTTACAACACTTACCCTTGTGACATAGCTGTTCAAGATTCCATCACTGATGTCTATGACACTAGCCCTTGCAATGCCCTGCTGTAAATCTCCAGTGGCAATGTACCAATATATCACTGGTGACAAATAAGGGAACCCTGGGCCACCTTGGATCATACTGTGGGCGACCATTTTCCCGAGAACTTCAAACACTCCATTTAGCACATTGTCACTTCGGTATATGGGAACTAGATGCTCAAATGGACCTTGAAACATCTTTAACCCTGCATCCCCTTTTGCCAATGCAAGGAAAGCATCTTCATAAGCTTGACGAAGCACTCCCCCGGTATCAATTGCTGGCTCTCCTCTGAACTGAATTTTAATCTGCAACTCTGGATTAAAGTCAGAGTCCTTGTAATAATGAAATAAATCAAGTACCAGATCTTCTCTGTCAACTTTTATCTTCTCTGCCTGACCATACCCTTTCATTTTCAACTTGAGATTCTTTAGTACCTGTGAAGCACCCATACATGCACCAGACTGCTTGCATGTAGCTGGTTTGTCACTTAATTTCTCAGCTGCCAATTCAAGTGAACCACATTGAATGAGGGCATCTCTGATATCACTTAGTTTTGCATCAGGAAATAATACAGTCAAAGAGGAAATGTCTCCATCCATGTGTGAAACACCTGATGATGTTGTTGGTACTTCATCATCCGCAACAATGGGTGGTGATGTGCTTGCTGAACTAATGGGCCTGTCATTAGGGGTTGACATTATGGTTAGCAAGCTACTGTCACTATCATCAGAAGCACATCCAATCACATCCTTGCTGATATTCAATCTAACATAAAGCTTACCAGCACCACAAAGATGCTTCACGTGAGCATAGTCCCATGCATGGTTTTCTTTCACCACAGGTGTTACAATGGTGTTTCTCTCTCTTTTGACAAAGTCAAAGTCTTTCACTGAAATCAGTGGAAATTTGACTTTAAATACTTCTTTCAATTCTTGGCGAATAGATTGTTCATCAGCACCAGCTAACAAATCAAACTCCCCTTTCACTAAAATCATTTCCTCCTTAATTACATATTCATCATTCTGACCTTCATCGTCATCCTCGTCATCAATGTTGAGATTTCCTTGATCAAGAAGAAACACTGTCTTTGGCACAACGTGCGTCTTTTGCTTTGAAGCTGGAACTTTTCTTTTCCGTAAAGGATGCCCGGTTACAGACGTCGATCTATCGAAAACACGAGCAGACATGGCTGGTGCATTACGACGAAATTCGGACGCTGGCGCTGGCTGTTGACTTGTTTCGCCCAGCTGCCTTGCAGTAAATGAAGCAGATGAACGAATCAGGTTTCTCGTTCTATTGACCAATGTTTGACTACTGCAATTCCCTCTAGAATTACCCAGTTATTCGCGTACACATCTACGAACTATCTCTTCTATTCTCTCATCGGGGCTTTCCGCTCTTTCGGCCATTTTGCACGAGGAAGAGATTGCACAATTTTATGGTATGCCTTAAAAAAGCTAGTGCCCAAGACCTCTCCGAATTTAAAACTAATTTGAGCCTGGGGGCAAGGTGGGAAATGTCTCTTCTTGCATTGAATATTGCATTGTGGGTTAACTACTTTGTTGACTGGTTGGCGAGGTTGTTGACAACGTATTTGGGTTGTTGATGTTGCAATTTGGCTACGTTGAGCATCACGTCATTCGCGGCTTGACTTTAAAAGGTCGAGTTGTTGAAACGTGACGGGGAATTTGGGGATGATATGGAACGAAGCTTGAAATTGAGAGAAATTTTTCGTTGAAAGTAGATTAAGTGATCTCTTGAGCTTGACTCAAATACCTCTTGCCCTTGAAAGGAAATTTGTTGAGCTTGAGTCTAAATGTCTTGACCTTGAGAGGAAATCGGTTGAACGTGAATTGATTTTGTTGAGCTTGATTGAAGTCTCTCTTGACCTTGATAGCAAATTTGTTGAACGTGAAGCCAATTTTGTTTCTTGAATTTTGCACCATTTGGCTTTCCATAGACGCCGACGCTTCGATTTCCTCCGGTTCCAAAACATTCCTGCAAGACGTCACATGTATCTCGAATGTTGACAACGCGTTGTCAACGCTCCTGACATAAGCCAATCATATTTTTGCGTTGTAAGAGCTATGCATAATTCAAACTCCCTGGCTTTAGGCGGTCCTCGCCCCAAGGATTTCGCGCGGCTACTTTTTCCTCGCGGTTTTCTTTCGCGCCTCGCACGACGGACTAAGCGAAAGAGAGAGGGACTACTCGTAGTCTAGCTCTGAGCGACCGTGGACCGTACTTAAACCACGAAGAATGGCCGAAAGGAGGAACTCGAGGACACTAGTCCCGTCGTGGCATGGTTTAAAAAATGTCTGGAGAACGAAGAAGCCTACACTTGAGCAACATAATACCAAAGCCTTCGACGAAATCTTCTAAGTAAAATAAATCACGGCAGTTTAAATACAAACCTGTATAAAGCTCTTGGTGGTTTGTGGTTTCTAGGACGATTTTACTGCGACAGGTTTCCGCGCCAGAATTGTGGAGGTCGGGTCTGTTTATTTCTAGACTGCTGGCAGTCTGTTTTTCTCTCGAAATTCGATAGTATGTTATGAGGCGAGACGTTTTGGCTAAAGGGGAATGGGACGAGACATGGGCGCGAGCCACACCTTGTTTCCTTGGATTAAGAGCCTTTCACAAAATATAAAATTTTAAGAACAAAGGAACTCCTCGTTACAATACAATTCTGAATGAATTCATGAAGTCAGTAAGCGAAGGCGGAATCGTGTCGAAATAAAATGGGGCCTTTATGAGTGCACGTTGTTTAGTAGATATCCCCCGCAAACCACGCCGTCAACGAGAACGTGGCTACTTTTGCAAATCGACAACGTGAAATGTATTTCTATTTGGAACTGAACGCATTCGTAGCGTATCTAGCACGGGCAAGTTTTTATACAGACAGACACACTGAATGGATCTAGATAAATGCGAAATGCAGTCCTTTATGGGTAAGGTCCCCAGTGGCAAAGCGCAGAGGTGGGAGAGTTCACTGGAGAGGACCGTGGATCGGTAAAGCAATTAAGAAACAATTCAAAGATATTTATTATTAAGCTTTATTTGTCAATTTTCAAATATAGCAACCTAAAAATGATCTGTTGTTAAATGAGTTCGTTGAACAAATAAACCCTAACTACATGCAACGAAGATTTTTTTCTGCAGTTAACCATACCTTATTTCCTTGGATTAAGAGCCTTTCACAAATTATGAAATCTTAAGATACAAAGGAACTCCGTTACAATACAATTCTGAATGAATTCATGAAGTCAGTAACCGAAGACGGAATCGTGTCGAAATAAAGTGATATAGAAATAGAGCTGTTCAATCGAGGAGATTGTCAAAGAAACAAAACCCGAATTTAAAAACAGGGCGCTAAACCAATGCAAGACCGGGAAATATGGCATTTAATTTACCCAATAACTGTTTATATGATATCTTCCAAAGTAAAATATTCTAACGACGAATGCTATTTTCAAGTTTAATTTTATTAACTCTAATGCTAGAAACTTAAGTTTGGACGTTAGAGTTTTACTCTACACCAACGCACGGATTCATTAACGAACGTTGAAAAGGGAAGCATTCACTTTTCGTGACAAATTTCACTAATTTTAGTTGTCAACAAAAGTACTTCCCACTACCACAACCCATACGTATTGCTAAGATTAATTTACACATAGTTAAA